CCCTACCCCCCACCCCCCCACCGGTGGCCAGGCAGAAACTGGTGAACGGATTCGCCACGACGGAGGAGCTGGCGAGGAAGGACGTGACTAATCAGGATGGTGAGCAACGCCTCCGCCCTAGGCTTCGTCTCACAGGCTCAGACTGCTCCTTCAGGTTGCCTGTCAGACAGCTGGAGGGCGCCGCGCTCAGAGCCAGCTGCCCGCTTGACTGTGACTCTGTTCTTACCTCAGTGAAAGGCGTGTCAGCACTGAAGCAGAAAGGGGAGGAGCTTATGGTGCTAAACCACGCTTCCAAGACCGTTGACGTCCCAGCCTCCCTGCCAACCCCCCCGCACAACAACCAGGAGGAGCTCCGGTAAGCCCCGCCCCCTCAGAGCACACCTGTCCTGTTTCTGTGCTGCCGCTCTCACCCGTCTGTCTTCTTCGTGGGTTTTCCTCCGCAGTGTGCAGGACTCGTCAGAGCGCGGCAGCCCGGATGGCTTCATCCCGTCCTCGTCTCCGGAGAGCGTAGCAGACGTGGAGGTCAGCAGGTACCCCGACCTGTCCTTCATCAAACTGGAGCCGCCCTCGCCCTGCCCGTCGCCTACGTTACCCATCATGCCCTGCGCCTGGGGAAAAGGTCAGCCAGCAGCAGATTGCCTTCACACTTGGAGACGTCTGCAGGTTTTTCTTCTTCGTGTCTGTTCAACCTACTGTCCTGCCGTCTCACTTGCTGACTGTGTGTGTCCAGGCTCTGCAGTGAAACAGGAAGTGAAGGCAGAGCCAAACCATCATGGCCGGCCTTCCTGCTCTAACACCGACCTGGTCACCATAGCGATCACCCTGAACCCCGTTGCAGCTCAGGTAAAGCCCTCTCTCTGTCTGCTGAGTCATTAGTAGCCCCTTCCTCCCGATGACATCATGTGGCGCTGTGTTTTCAGAGCGTTGCTGGTGTGATGGCGGCAGTGGCGGAGCTGCTGCGGGTCCCTGTGCCCGTAGACTACCAGCTGAGCCGAGCGGCGGGCCCCGAGCAGAGCTCTCTGGCTCTGCTGGCCGGAGTCCGAGTGCCGCTGCCGCAGGTGAGTCTGCTGCCTCCGCTCGGGTCACGGCGATCTCTGCACTTGCCGCTGGCTGCAACACTCTGATTGGTCAGAACTGGTCACGATGATTGATTGTCATCCATTAAATCAATCACCAAATACTTGAACAATGGATCAAACAGTTTGATAACCTGAAGTTATAGTGTTAGCATCACTCTGAGCAGGTTAACATGTTAGCATTACTCTGTTCACGTAAGCATCACGCCATAAAGGTTAGCATCATTTTGAGCATGTTAGCAATCTGCTGATCAGTTTGTCCAGAAAATACGAATTGTGACTGATGGCTGTGGGATGTGTTTGCAGGTTTCAACAGGAAACAGACAACAGAGACCTGCAGCTGCTGCAGCAAGCACAGGTCTCACACACACACACACACACACACACACACACACACACTAAGCCACTCACTCAGACACACTGTCTTTGGTCACCGTCATCCGTCCCGTCATGTTTGAACTCTGTTCTTTCAGGTGTCAGGATGGATTGCATCCAACATGGCGGCGCTGCTGCTGCCAGGCCTCAGTGTTGCAGCTACTGCAAGGTGCTGCTGGGAAACGGAGTCCGCATCGTCAAGGAGCTCAAACAGGTGAGAGGCAGCAGAGGAGTGTTGGTACTGAGTCCAGCGATCAGACAGGTGGTCACACTGTGTGTTTGTGTGTTGCAGGAGGGTCGGTCCAGCCTGGTGTTCTGCAGTTCAAACTGCTCTGCTCTCTACACAGCAGACATACACAGCAGGGCTGCAGGAAACAAGGTGAGCGTTCACATGCCATCACATTAGTGGTTATTGATTATCAGTGACGAGTGGGTCCAGAGCAGCCGAGGTGCAGGGATCCTGTGGTTCAGTCCTTAGACTCTGGATACTACGTTTCCCACAACGCACCGCTCTAACGTGTTCCTGTGTGTCTGTTCTCAGGCCACGATGCCCGTCCTGCAGTCTGGCTCGGAGCGCCCCCCTCCCAGCAGAGGGCTGCACCAGTACGCTAACAACATGTCCTCCATCACCGTCCACTCCCTCCCCCACACCCCCTCGTCCTCCTCCTCATCCCCTCCTCTGTCCTTCCCCCCTGCCTCTGCCATCACCATGGAGACCAGGCCCCGTGTGGACAGCCTCAAGGTGGGCGTGGTCACTGACGACATGCTCACAGATGACATTTGTTGATGATATGGGCTTTAATTGGGTGATGGACTTTCTGTTTGCACAACAGGTGAAAGTGAAGCTAAAGCCACGCCCCCGGGCAGTCCCAGGTGGAGAGGACTCACTGTCTCCTCGCCACGGGAAGAGAATGAAGAGTTGCCGCTGGAGACGCTGGAGTGTTAGCATCACACTGAGCAGGTTAGCATCATAGTGAGGATGTGTAGCATCGCACTGAGCAAGTTAGCATGTTGGCATCATAGTGAGGAAGTTAGCATCACACTGAGCAGGTTAGCATGTTGGCATCATAGTCCAGATGTTAGCCTCATACTCAGCAGGTTATCATCATAGTAAAGTTGTTAGAATCACAGTCAATAGGTTAGCATCATAGTGAGGATGTTAGCATCACACTGAGCATGTTAGCATCATAGTAAGTTTGTTAGCATCACTGAGCAGGTTAGCATGTTAGCATCACACTGAGAGGTTAGCATCGTAGCGAGGATGTTAGCATCACACTGAGCAGGTTAGCATGTTGGTATCATAGTGAGGATGTTAGCATCGCACTGAATAGGCTAGCATGTTAGCATCATAGTAAGGCTGTTAGCATCACACTGAGAGTTTAGCATCATAGTGAGGATGTTAGCAACACTCTTAACATGTTAGCATGTTAGTATTTTGTTAGCATTGTACCTCACATCTTTTATTTTATGCAGGGGTCCGTGCATTCCTAATGCAGCAGTTGCCATGCCAACAGAGGAGGAAGTGGACGTGCTGTTGAAGAAGCTGGGGGCATGTCTTCGTCCCGACCCGTTACCCAAAGACCAGCGAAGGTGCTGCTTCTGTCACCAGCAGGGCGACGGACGGACGGACGGCCCGGCCAGGCTGCTGAACCTGGACCTGGACCTGTGGGTGAGTGTGCTGCTCTGTGGGAAGCTGCAGAGGCCCGGCGGTGGTCTGGACCGGCGGTTGACCGAGCTGTCTCTGTGTCTCAGGTGCACCTGAACTGCGCTCTGTGGTCCAGCGAGGTGTACGAGACCCAGGCCGGCGCCCTCATCAACGTGGAGCTGGCTCTGAGACGAGGTCTGACCTTGCGCTGCGCTTACTGCCAGCAGACCGGAGCCACGAGCGGCTGCAACCGCCTGCGCTGCACTAACACCTACCACTTCACCTGCGCCCTGCAAGCCCACTGCACCTTCTTCAAGGTAACACGCTGCAACACCCGTTGGCCTGCAGTGTGGTGACCGTCTGAACCCTGAGCAGCTTCTGTCTCATGGTCCTTTACTGAGGTCCATGTTTGTCTGCTACATAAAGTCCTACAGCTCTGAGGAACCAGAACATGAAGGACGAGGGAGAACTCAGAGATGTGCTGTGTCAGCAGGACTCAGTTAGAACCATGGCGACCAGAGAAATGTGTTGTACAAAAATGAAAACCAAAAACCTAGAACCATCATGTACACCATGTTTCACAGAGGCTCCCAGCACTGGAACACATGGAGGCTCCACTGCAGACACTGAACTATTTCCATTTTAGCCAGTTTCCATCCTCGTCTCTGTGGAAACACTGCCTGCAGTTCACCTGAAAACGGACAATTCTACAGCTGAGTCAGTCACACAGAATCAGTTGTGCAGAGGAAGGAAGGATTTGTGCAGTTTTTACAGTTTCTGATGGTGAATGTTGTCGTTTTCCTTGAAGAAAACTTGCAATCTAAGTTTTCAGGTTTTGAAGTTCTGAGGGTGAAGCTTTGTGCAGCTGATATGATGCAAACAGGTTGAGTTCTACCACAAAGCTAGAGACACCAACACCGTCACAGTCCTCAGGGCCAAATCATGCCTCTGTGTCTGCGTGTCCACAAAGACACGTAAAGTCCTAACCCTAGCCCTAACGAAGGCTTCCTTCAACAGATGCTTGTTCAAAGGAGAAACTGTACAAGGAGGTCCTTCACCGTCCACACCGTCAGAATGCTCAGAAAGTATCACGGAGCAGAATCACCGCAGTGCTGAAAGAAAAGCAGTGAGCTATAAGTAGGATGCATGAGTAGCTTCAGGTGAAGGGCTGAAATACGACCACAGTGGACAAGTCAGACCAAGTAGTGCAGTGGTAAAGTCCTGACCCAGTTCTATGATCAGATGGGTCGGCTTCCCTCCGTGTCCCTGCTGTGGTCTGAACAGAACCGTGTCTGCATCAGTTGTCCAGAATCTCACTCTGCTCCTCCTCCTGTCCTCCAGGATAAGACGATGCTCTGCCACCTCCACAAGCCCAAGACGGTTCCTGTCAGCGGGGACAGGTCCTCCAGCGGCTCCCCCTCCTCCACCCCTGGTCCGACCCCTGACCTGGCGATGGCGTCCTCTGACCCGTACAACTCTGAGCTGCGGTGCTTTGCCGTGTTTCGCCGGGTGTTCGTGCAGCGGGACGAGGCGCGGCAGATCGCCGCTGTGGTGCAGCGCGGCGAGCGGCAGCACACCTTCCGGGTCGGCAGCCTGCTGTTCCGCGCCGTCGGCAGGCTCCTCCCACATCAGATGAGCAACTTCCACAACGAGGCCGCCATCTTCCCCGTCGGTTACCACGCCAACCGCATCTACTGGAGCATGCGCCACAGCAACAGGTAAACGTCAGCGATGAGTCTCTGTTCCTCTGCAGCTCCTGATCTTTAAGCCGTCCATGTGACCAGGTCGTGACATCACCACGCTGCCATCAGGTGGCTTTAAAAACACGACATAAACGAGGCTCGATCCAAAACATCACACACTGCGCCTATAAAAATCCAAAGCTGTGTCTACCTGGAGCTTGTCCTCCATGAAGCGCTCCCCTTCAGTGTGTTAGTGTGTTCTCCCTGTGCAGCGCCGTTCTGCTCCCACAGCTCCTGCAACACTCTGGAAGTCCGGTTCTGGAAACGTCAGCTCCATCTGAAATCAGCGTCCCAAACTGTGTCCCAAAGGACACGTTAACTAGAGCAGATGGATGTTCTCAGGACGTCCCAGTAGAATCCAGACAGTCCGACCCACGATGTGCTATCATGTGACTGTTTAACTAAGTCCAGAACGACTCAGAATTCGTCTTACGAGGGCCCCCCTATAGCTCACCTGGTAGAGCGGGCGACCCATGAACAGGGGCTGTAGATCCCCGACGCGGCGGTCGTGAGTTCGACTCCCGCTCATGACAGTTTGTGCAGGTCTCTCCCCGTTCTTCTCCCCCCTTTCCTGTCTCCCTCTCTCACTGTCCTGACTGATAAAGACAAAAACGCCAGAAAATAATCTTTAAAAACATTTTTTTTAAAATGAATTCGTCTTGTGTGACTTGAAACAAATGCAGAGTCACTCGAGCCGTGTGCAGAACCACTCAAGGTTTGTTCAGACCACTCAAAGTGTGGCTGAAATTATTTATGATTTGAAGCTCATCCGCAGTGATTCCACATTCATGTACAATGGGGGGAAATAAAAAGGTCCAAATCTCTCTGAAGTGATTCGGTATCATCGAGACAGGAACCAGAATCGGTAACTTGTGACTGTGACCGGGTCTCTGCAGCAGTGTTGTGAGAGCCTTATTGATCCGTCCTGCAGCTCTGAGTGTGGGTCTGGTTGTGCCGTTGCAGACGCTGTAAGTACATGTGCTACATCGAGGAGCAGGACGGCGAGCCGCTGTTCACAGTCAAGGTGGTGGAGAAGGGACACGACGACCTCGTACTGACCGGACCCTCACCCAAAGGTAAGAATCACCTGTGCACCCTGCAGCTGGAGGCGGCTCCGCTGGTCCTGCTGGTCCTGCTGGTCCTGCTGGTCCTGCTGGTCCTGCTGGTCCTTCATGTCCTGCTGGTCCTGCTGGTCCT